TATATATGTATATATATATATATATACATATATACATATATTATATATATATATATAAAAATATGCCACATAGAGTCACTTTTATAAGTAAGTAAGTATAATTTTTATTGTCATTGTACTTAAATACAACGAAATTGAGTGGGTAAAAATGTGACAAAATAAACAGTTGCTGAATTTTACCACTAAGCCAGCAACACTTGAGATAGCCAGTGGGGTGGGGGTGGGGCATAATTGATGGTATGGGGGCTATATATGAACTGCTGAAATGAACCATTGAGATGCATAAGCTTCCTTTGCTGTCCCTGTCCAAAACAATTTTAAGGTTAATATTTAACTGGTTGTGCATATGTTTATTATAGTCACAATGGATTAGTACTGGCTTCATAGAATATCATTCTATTGAACCTGCCCAGAGTGAAATGCACTGTATCACCATGCTCCTCAGAGTTTACTTCTTTCATAAGAGTAAACATCAATAATGTTTGTTTAAATGAAAACAGAGTTCTTCCTTGATTTTGAAATGTTTCTGTTGCGTATCTTTCCTTTGTCCAGAAGTGAAGAGGCCGTATCAAGTTATACAAACAACAATAAGGTATTTTATTTCAGTCTGTTTACTTATTTATTCAATGTCTGTGGCTGATCCTCTTATGTAGTGTGACTCTGGGTGATTTTATTAACTTCTTGAATTTTTGCAATCCACTGTAATTTGGAATCATAGTTGCTACTACCTATCTTCTAGAACAATTTACTTGGTATACTCTTAATAATAGCTTTAGTAGATGAGAAGGAGCGCTAATACCCCAGAGCCCACGAGCCTTACTGGCAAGTAAAAACAAAATAAAATAAATTCTGTAGTTTCATTTCCTGGTCATACAGTGTTGTATGTGACTTAGGAAAGAAGCCCCTCTCTTTTGGGAGGTAGATCCATCTTAGCAAGGTATAGAACAAATTTTATTTTAAAAAAGGAAAGCAGATGGTAAAAAAATTATTTTTTTCAGTATTCATATATAAAATATCCAGTGCTGGGAAAAAAATGAGTATTTTTTAAAGTCAATATTTGAAAATGATCTCCCACAGAGAAATTATAAAGGGCAGTATACAATTCAGACTACATCCCAAGATAGATCTGCAATTAATATAAAAACATCTTTGAATTCTTTATTTGAGAAGTGGTTAAAGAAGTTTAAACGTGTGAATATAGGAATGTGTTCTGACCCCCCTCCTTGCTCGTTCAGAAACGACAGCCACACACAACTTGCAAAGGAATGTCCTTATCAGTCCCGGCTTTTGCTGGCTGCGAGCCCAAAATAAACATAGATAAATTCTCTGGCAAAAAGTTAAACAGCAAATGCAAAAACAAACTCTTACAGCAAATCAGGTTTATTTAAAGCAAATCACTTATCCAAGTGGTTTCTCTGAATCATGAACATGAACTAGAATAGGAACGGAATGAACGAACGAAGGAACGAACGAACGAACGTTGACTTCTGCAACTAGGGCGTGGCACCATCAGTCTTTTATCCACAGGAGGAGATCCTTAACGAGCCACAGCTGCTTGTTATCTTCTCCTGTGAGCATCCTGAAACCACACACTGATAGCAGCTCCAAAGGCTCCTACCGAGCCACAACAGGAATGCATCAGAACAAGAATGTACGAATGGCCCTCATTTAATAACCACTCATTCAGTGACTGTTCTAACTTATGACAGTGTGAAACAAGTGGTACTTAGGACTGGTCCTTAAAAGTTCCAATTCTTGCAGAGCCCCTGTGATCACATAATCATGATCTAGATGCTTAGCAATCAGCCTGGATCTCCAATCTTTGCAGCATCCCATGATCATGGGGAACATGATTTGCAAACTTCCCTGCTGAACTTCCCATAAACAAAGTAAATGGGGAATCTGGCAGGAAGTTTTAAGTCGTGACCATGTCATGTTTCACTTAATGACTGGTGTGGTCCACATTTAAAGATGATAACTGGGGACTCCTGGAATTCTCATTGCTAAGTGGCCTGGTCATGCGACATCAAGCTTTACAACCACATCACTTAGCGACAGAAGTTGCGTCCATCATTAAGTGAAGACAAACTTTAAAATATGCAGCTGATGCTATTGATGTGAAAGATTTAAAGAGTAAAACTTAACTTGAAAAGGTTGTACTATAAAATGGTAGAAACAGAAGATTAAAGAGAAGGCAAGAGAAGTTTAACCGCTTTGTAATTAATGAGAATGAAGCCCATAATTATGTTTTAAGGCTAGATTTCTAAACAAACGCCTATTACAGTGAAGAAGAGATTCAATATGATGGAACTTCTGAATTAACACATAAAGGATTATGCTGCAGATTGCTTTGAGCATTTGCCACATGCAATTTTTTTTATATGCCTTTCAGAGAGTAAAATTAGCTTACCCAGATATAACCAGAAAAGAAACTATTGAAGTTGTTAATCAGTGATGCAGTTGATAAGCTTTGCATTACATGCTTATCAAGTCATAAATATTGGGCTGTTGCTTTTTTTAACAATTATGAATAATACTTAGAAATTTTTACATGAAGATGTTCTTATTTTGTATGCATGTTTATAAGGTTTTGATTTAATAATCGATATACTATTGCTTGAGTTTGCTTCAGATTCTTTTATATCCTGTAGAGAATTATTCACTTTTTCTAAGTATTCTTTATCCTTTTGCACAATAGCTTCATAAACCTAGGAAATCATACAATGTTTTGAGCTTGCCTGGAAAAGTTCTTCGTTCCCTTAATCCATTAGTTTATCAAAATGTTGAATATGAAGTCTGGCGGCAATCAAAAATAGGTAAGGAGCTAATGCTGGAATCACTTACTCAGAGGACGCTGAGCAGCTTTTTGTGCTCACCTAAGTGTATAGTATAATGCATTTTCTTTTTGTGCTTGCAGATCAGCAAAAACAAGATTTTTCTATTGCTGCTGGCATGCAGTATTCAGTTGGAGATAAATGTAAAGTAGGTGGCATTACATCTGAGTAACTCTGCTTAACAGCTCTTTCATTTTTCAGCATCATGTATAGTGTTTCACTTAGATTACCACTTTCCCCCCATCAGGGATATATGCTTTTAAGAGCAGCTTTGCAAGGAAGAAATGTGTCTGGAGCGAGGTTGGGCATGATGATACAGGGAGAGGGGAATTTGCTGTTGCATTAAATTTGCACTGCCTCTCTGGGATGAAATGTTGATAAGCCCACCGTTTATTTCATTGTGCTACTTTGGCTTATTATCTTGTGCTCCATTTTTGATCCAGCCATTTGTTTATTATGTTCATTGTCTCATTTTGCCTGGTTGATAACTTCCAGTCCTCCCAGATATGATGGCTTTGGAGCATCCTGAACATTGTATAGTTTCTACATTCCATAGTCGGGAGCCACTCAGAAGGCCCCTTTTTCATGGGCCTACTAGTCAAGCTTCTAGCTCTGATGATGTTACCTAATTAGAGTAATGAAATGTCTGCAAGAAAACAAGCAAGCTCAGACAGCACCAAGGACGCCTCATTTCAACCCTGTGCTACAAATATTCTCCTTTATAAGAATATTTTCAGAATGGCTTCTCAGATAATCATATCTTCAGATACTTAGGACTTTTGAGATCAACAGCAGCATCTTAAATTGTGCTTCGTAAGGAGTTAATTTACAATTATCATGACATGTATTCATTGTTAGTTTTCTTTTCTTTTTAATTAAAGTGATGTTCATTGGCACAACTTGTAGCAATCAATTCCAGAGTTTAAAGTGCTATATCACTAAAGAAATACTTTACTTAATCTCTCCTTAATTTCTCACCATTCTACATCATTGAATTGCCTGTATGGCACTAAAATTAGAGTGAATTTAAAACAAATCTTGATTTATAAACCTCTTTCCTGTATTTCCTTTTGCATACACTTTATTTTGATTTCTCCATAGGTATATTTAGAGGATAGTGGAAGATATTACAATGCTCACATTCAAGACGTCCAGTCTGCAGATGGACCAGTTATTGTTTTTGTGGAAGAACTTGGTATTAAGTAAGTAATCTTGGGGTGAATGGTGGAATAGTAAATACTGTGGGATAACCTAATTTGTGAAGTAATAGACTTTCTTACTTCACATATTAGAAGGATTTATGGAGGTCAGAGATAAATTTTTGATGACCACACAAGATCCCCTCCAAATCTGTAATATAACAATGTAGTATAAAGTATACTTTATACTAAAGTATACACATTTTGCTATCCAAAATGGAATATTGTTGGTTTCTGTTTGGTCAGATTTTGTCTGGCTTGCAAAATATTAATGCAAGATAAATAGATAATGACACTTGTAAGTGGTGCATTAAAAAGGCAGGATGGAAGTTTGAATATAAATAAATATTCAGTACTAGAATGTTTTGAATTAGATTCTTGAAAGGACTGTGTATTTTTGACTCGTGTCATTTCCATTAAAACTCCTAATATTTAAGTAATACACAAAATTACTAAATTTATATTCTCTTAGAAGTAAATAGTGTGTTTTGATAATTGCATGTGATAGTATTTATTATGTAACTATAAATCTGGGATACTAAAATGAATACTTATATTAATTACATTCAGTGAAATACATTTTATGCACAGTTATTGGGAAATTCTTGGAATTTATTTAATAGTTCTACTTTATTGCTAACAAAATTGTTTTGCAATTTATACCCTTACTTATTTACTGGAGCAGATATAAAACTGAAGTCTAGCAGGAAATGATGCAACTATGTTAAAAACTAGTGGTTAAGGCATTGGGAACCAGAAGGCTATTAGTCTTGCCTTAGGCATGAAAGCCAATTGAGTTATTTTGGACCAGTGACTTTCTCTCAATTCACCTCACCTCACAGGGCTGTTGTGGGAAAATAGGAGGATGAAAGAGCATTAGGTAGGTTTGTCACCGTGAGTTGTTTATAAAAACAATAAAGGCAGGATACAAATGAAATTAATAATAAAATATATTAAATGTGAAAACTATTAAATATAGATCTGTTAAAAATCAGTCAGATATGTGTTTTTAAAGAAAAGTTGGAGCCATTAGATTCAAGATGGAGGGCATTGCATTCCAGAAAATGGCAGTGATTGTTTATCATACTGTAATGTATTTCAGTTGCTCGTTCAGTAAAAATTTCACTGGATTTAACTCTGATTCTTGCTGTTAGTAATAGCAATGTAAACACTGTTTGGAAAGAAGTGACATTGTGTTGCATAGTGAAACAGTGGAGAGGAGTGGATAATCTTTTGCCTATTTGAAAGAAACATGACTTCTGTTTAAAATGGACAGTTTTAATTATTGATAATCTAATATTCCTTTATATTCTTTCCTTCTTCTTAAAGTGTTAAAATAATACCATGAACAACTTGAAGGTGATTTACTTACTTGATTTATATCCCACCTTTAATTCAGGTATTCAGGATGGCAAATATAACATTCCCTCTTCCAAGTTTTCTTCCACAAAAACAACTCTGTTGTACAGCTAAGCGTGTACTAGAAGTTGGGTTTCCTATTCCTATTCCTTATCCACTATGCCTCTGTTGTGCTATAGAAATTAAGCACACAGACAACACACACAGACATTGAAAATTATGTTCCATAACGTGTATAGGTTCTGTTGACAGCCTATTTGGTTTTACTAATGCTTTCAGTGCAATAGTGAAATTACCACAGAAGCGTTGTTTCTTCTTTCTTCCATCAGGCATTCAGTACTGCTAAGAAACATTAAACCTCTTCCACAGGCAACTCCTTTGGAAATCTGGAGCACAGTACCAGGAAAGAAAAGTAAAAAACACACTTTGGTGCATGGGCAAAATGTTCAGACTGGTACGTGTTTTTAACTTAGATTCTACTGACTTTATTGCTGATCTATTTTGGATTAACTGATTAAAAATATGTCTTCCAGATACAGATTGCAGAGGCTCCAAAAATCCAAACAGGCTAATAAAAACCACATCAATTTTGCCTCCTCAAATGCAAATTACAAGACAGCATCAGTTGCCCAGTTTGGGGGTGTCTTCTCAACAATCTTCTGCTCATCACAAAACTCAAGGCAGAAACCCTCTGCAAGCTGTAAGGTGACTAATATCTCACGCTTTTTTTAGCTACAACTTGACCTTTTATAAGAGGAGTTCCTAACTGCCCTTTCTATCCTTTTTCATTTCATTTTATTTTGAATTTCTTTTTCAAAATACTGTACTTAAGAGAGAAGATAGAAAAGAAAAAGGAATTATTCTATCTAGTTCTCTTAAAATGTAAGAACTAAATAGGAACTTACAAAATACTAAGACAAGGGAAAATATTCCCGTTATTTTACTAATACACCAGAAAGAATGTAATCATATCTCAATTTGACCATTTAAGGACTATTATTAAAGTCATAAGCTAACAACAATAGCCAAAATATAGGACTTATTAAGATAATGAGAAGAAACAGGAATTTCTAGCTAAACCTGGAAGAAAAATGGAAGCATCTAAAGCTATTTGTCTGAAGTAAGTATATGAAATGTAGGAGATGAGCAGGCTAAACTGGAAGGCAGGGTTAAACATGTCATCAGTTTGGGATAATTGCGCAGCCACCAAGTGACCCCAAAATCGGTCCCCACCATGAATTCCTTTGATCCTTATCTAGCACCACTTTAGCTTGGATTGTTAATTGGTCAGATTCTTGTGTATAGATAGTAATAAACTCCTCAATGCTGTAAATTCAGTAAGTGTTCCTTGTTCTTTGCACCTGACAGACATCAGACAGAATTGAAAGATTGAAGACATTTTGTTAAGGGGAACCTAAACTTGGATTATGCAAAATTGTATGGGCAATCCTCAATAATTGGAACTGGATTTCTGTTGTTAAGTGGTGCAATTATAAAGTGTGATGCCACATGATCCCATGGTTTAGTGATGTCACTCCCTGTTGCCTGATTGTGAGTAGTTAACTGAGCCCTGGATGACTGGCAGACTTGCAAGCAGCTAAATGACTGCTAGCAGGAGGGGGAGAATATGTGGTCACCTGTGAGACGCAGTAGGGCTGAAGATGGCTGCTGCCATGTGGGCCGGAGTGTGAATGACTCAACAGAGCAATTTATGACCTTTGCTACTGGCTTCCCTGTTGACTTTTCTTATGGGAAGTGTACAGGGAAGGTTGCTAATGGTGACCATGGAACTGTTGGATGTTACAATTGTCATAAGTGCAAATGCTTCCTAAATGCCCAGATCACGGTCATGTGACTGAATGGATGCTTGGACACCTGGAACTTTGAGAATTGGTCATGTGCTCCTTGTTCAGCCTCACTGTAACTTTGAACAGTCAAGTGGTTGTTAACTGAGAACTATCTATACATGAAAATTACAATTAACAACTCCCAAATTATGTTAAAGTTAACACCAGATGGCATTTTTTTTATATCGTTATTTTTTGACATTGAATCATACTCACCAACCTTATTCTGCCTGTCCTCTAATGGAATAAATAAATGTAAAAATTTTGTGGGAGGCATTGTGACTTTCCATGAGTTGGAAGTATACCTCAGTATACTTTTGTAAGAATATATGGCTGGTGATGCTTAACCAAAAAAGCGGGCAGGAATAGAAAGTCAGCATTTAAAATTTGTATATTTATGTAGTCATTCATCTTCCAGAACTGCTGAGCTTTGTGTCATTGCCCCCATGTATAAATGAACCTATATTGCAATATTGATACATTGATATACTTTTTGGTAGAATTATTCTCCTTGGATTTTCTATTGAGAAACTAAAAGATTTCAAAGGGATGCATAATTCAAAATATTAGATTTACCCTTTGAATTAGCAGAAGTTTAAACATAGGCTTTAAACAGTAATGTTTTTGCTTTAAGTGAAGATAAATTTACAGTGATAAAAGTTTAGATTAGTTTGAAATATTGGATTAGTTTTTAATCCAGAAATTTGATGGATCAAAACAATCAACATCAGATGAAGCACCATTTTGCTACTACACATTGTACATGCAGGTAGCAGTTTTTAAAAACAAGACCAAATGAATATTTGATCTTGTTATTTAATTGAATATTTGAAATGCCATAAAAGGATGATGAAGGGGCATGATGGCTCAGTGATTAATGACGCTGAATTTGTCAGCTGGAAAGATGACAGCTGGGGTTCGAGATCTGAACTCAGCACGACAGAGTGAGCTCCCATCACTTGCCCAAGATCCTGTCTAACTAGCATTTGAAAGCAAACAAATCCAAGTAGACAAATATGTACACTTTGGTGGGAAGGTCAGTGTTCTGTGCACATTGGCAGATGGTCATGCTAGTCATATGGCCATGCAAGTGTCTTCAGACAAGGCTGGCTTCCTCAGCTGAGAAATAGAGATGAACACCGCCTCCTAGAGTCAGACAAAACTGGATAAAAGAAATATTTACTTTTTAAAAGGGTGATGAAACTGCTGCAGTTTTAATAGATGTAATTCCCCCCCTCCCCCCAGAAAAACAGATTGTGAGACAGTGCAAGAATTGGACCATCGAAACAAGAATTGTAATGTTGGTCTTTCTCCAGAAGAACATAAAGAGAAACAAGCTATAGATGAAGTTAATTCACTTTATGAAATCCAGTTCCAGGATGAAGAAGCTTTCCCTGCACTTTTGGTATGTGTGCTGGGTTTGCCATTGGGCTGTATGTATTCTGGACTACAGTACATTATTATTCTGTTCTAGTGAATAATGAAAGAGAAATATTACCTGATATATTTTGCTTTGTCAATTGAATCTGTTATATACTATGGCACATGGATAGTACAGATCTGCACCAATCCTAAAATGTCTTCATAAGGTAAACCATATTCTAAAACGTTTTCGCCCCCAAAACATGGGAGTCCTTCAAACGATGTTGGCACCAGCACCAGCTTAATTAGGTACATATTGGAGGCCAGTGCATCTAAGAGCTGCACAACTTATGTAACTATACTGGACAGCTCTCCCTTATTAATAACTTTACACTCATCTCTAATATCCATGTTAAGACTTGGTGTCATTATTAACAGTGCAGGCTCTTAGACAGATCCAGTGTACATTGAGATACCAGTTTGCTAATCAGACAAATAAGCGAGAATGGTGCTGGCAACAATATGCTCTGCGTTCCTAAAACTAGAAATGGGCCTGCCTTTAAATATTATCATTTTTTCTCAGTTAAGAAACACAAAAGAGATTGGATAGGTATACTGCCATTCAAGGAATACATACACTAATATGTTGTGCTGTAGGGAAAAAGAAAAATCTTGCACTATATTATTAGTAATTCACTAGATTCAATTGGTCCCTTAATTTGGGCAGAAATTAGTTTTCAGATAGTCATTAGAATGAAGTTAAATATGGTAAAGGAACATAGCTACAACCTGGTCTTCCTGGTTTTGTTCATAGACTGGATACATTCAATAGTTCATGGTATTTATTCAAGTATTTTTGTTTAATAATTAGTATTTCCACATATTCTTCATTCTGGCTTTAAAAATCAGAGGGACTTTTGTGATGCAGAATGTTTGCTAGGTTAAGGAAGAAAAGTACTTAAACTTATAGCTCTTCAGGTCTTGACCATTGTGCAGATAATTAGACTTTGAGATTATATATTCAGAACAGGAACAAATGATTTGGATTGGAACTCAATACAAGAAAGTTCAACAGGGACAGTTGCTCATTTTGAGTGTGTGTGTTTAATAATTCATTCTCACTTTGGGGGAAATTACCTGACTTGGATTTTAATTAGATGACCCATCATTTCCTGGGTCATTATTTCGGAGGTGTTTCCTTACCTAAACAGATACACAGTGATTATGGGCAGATAGTAGATTAGTGGGACTTTCTGCTGGCTTTCTCATTGATTTTGCTTGTGAGAAACTGGCGTGACTATTGGAAACAATGATCATGTGGCAGTGCTGTAGCAGCCATAACTTTGCCCAATCTGAAGACCCTTGAAATTTCAATGCTCTGGGAGTAATGGGTCATGGATTTTGGAATCATTCTTTAACTTATTCCCTTCAAGATACCTTGATTCAAAAATTGTTGCCCAATGTTGCATTATTTTGCCCAAATGAAGGTGACATAGTTTTAATAATGCATAAATTAAAGCAAGAAGATAATTTTTAGGCTTGCAATTCCTAGCACTATTGTTAGAACACAACATCTGAGAAATCCTGTTATTTTTCTTAAGAAAAAAACAGTGAAGACTCAGAATTAATTTTGCTAACGTTAGCTCATCTTAATGGGAGGTTTGGTAAACTTATTATGGAAACATATTTACCTAAATGTTGATTAAAAGCACTTTATGGCTCTTGTGACCAGGACTTTCATATAAAATTAGGAGCTCTCTCAGGTTCATATTCAATTATTTCAGAATACACCTGTGTCTCAAGTAGCTACACAGACTAATGAGACTTCTGCATGGCAAACATCACAAGTTCCTAATGGGAGAAGAATTGGCAACTTGAAGGAAGAACAGGTGACAAAAAATAAAGATGCAAAGGATGAAAAAGGTATGAATAAAGTCATATATTGGGATTTCTTTGGATTGACGACCAATATATTTTAATATTAAGGATATTAATATATTGTTCAATAAAGGAGATAACACAGTAAAACAATAACACAAACTGGAGGGTTTAGAGATCCTAAAATCTTGGTGTATTTTCAGAGCATGGATGAATAAGCCTATGCCATCTAGATCATTAGATTTCAGGTTCCCGTGTTGTTCGCTATATTGGCTAGAGATGATATAGAAGTTTATAACATCTGAAAGTTGCAGTACCTGCTTTCTGTTATTCTGTGATTTCATTAATTTTGCTGCTGCTTTCTTACACATTATTGCAGTGTCTAATCTTGAGCAGATTCTTGCAGATCAGAAGCTGGATCCCAGAATGTCTAAGGTAAGCATGGTGCACTGTGATGCATTCTGATCATCTTTTCTTCTTTTGCAAAATAGATATCCTCAAGTGTTCTTTTTAATTTGCAGGACACTAAGGAGGATATAGCTGTTGCAGGTATATCATCTCCCTCAAGCAATGGAAATATTCATTCACAGCCAGTTGAGCAGGTAAGAGATGTATGTTTAAATTTGTGTGGCTGTTTCAGGGGAAAGATCACCTGAATTGAAGTTTGTCTCAAAACTTGAGTTTTAAGCAAATTGGTAAAATTCATATTTCTTCAGTTGGAATCTTAAGTACAATCCATTAAAAATATATTGCAACAATCGTGTCAGAATTACTAGAATCTATAGAATGTGAATTGTTCACTAAAGATATATGTCTTAATTACGGATATTCAGTATGTCTAATGAAAGGTACCAAGATCCACAATATCTGGCATTTGTCAACCTTGTAGCTTTATTGGATTTCTAACATTTGACAAATTCAGCACTGTTCAGTGTGAAAGCCTTTGGAGTCAGTTAAGCAGAGCAAATGACCTGTCTGCTCTCAGTTCAGTCTGAAAGCCAATTTATTATAGCTTTATAGAATCATCTTGTTCAATGATAGGAATAGTGAAGGTTTATTTCTTTCCTGCTACATGTACATTTCCAAGAAATTGGCTGGATGCTGGAAAATATATTCTGATCTAATCAAATAGAATTCTTTTTTTAAATATTTTTCTTGTGGAGCAATGAAGCATGCGGGAAGGGAGGGTGAATATTAAGCTACCGAGAGCCGAGGTGGCGCAGTGGTTAGGGTGCAGTACTGCAGGCCACTTCAGCTGACTGTTATCTGCAGTTCAGCGGTTCTAATCTCACCGGCTCAAGGTTGACTCAGCCTTCCATCCTTCCAAGGTGGGTGAAATGAGGACCCGGATTGTTGTTGGGGGCGATATGCTGACTCTGTAAACCGCTTAGAGAGGGCTGAAAGCCCTATGAAGCGGTATATAAGTCTAACTGCTATTGCTATTGCTATTGCTACTTCAAACTGAGTTGCCCTCACTAAAGATGGTAAGACAGTGTAATGTGTACTGTTAAATTGCCTTACAGTAGGGATGTTGTATATGCAACTGATCATGGAATGCAAATGTTGTCAATGATATTTTGCGTGCTTTGGCCCATGTTTCCTGCATATTTCCCAGAAGGCAAGACTGGTTCAACTCAAAGGGACCGTAGAAAGAATTGGACTATAAAATTGCAGAATTAATTTTTGGATTTTAAAACCGAATTAGATTGTTTTAATTTAACATATATTAAATGATTACAAAATGTATTAAAAGTCCATATTATTTTTACAGGAACCTTTATCAGGTATAAATGCTACCCTGTCTTCAACTGTTCCTGAAATACATTTGCCTCCCACTGTGCCTTCTGCACCAGATGTTGTGCCAGCTTGGTCAAGTGAATCAACAGACTACGGATTAACAGGTTCGCAAGGGGAAAAACTCTTTTAGTCCCAAACTGGTTTTGCAATAAAAGATCGTTAGTACTATTATATTAACCAATATTCAGTATTCAGAGGCCAAATTAAAGTTGTGTGTGTGTGTGTATTTGTGTGTTTTCTTGATATTGTGATTTCTTATTCATTTACTTATATATATATTTCTGCATTTCACATGCATTTATTGTGATATATAATAAAAGTAACTATAAGAGCAATATAGAAATTATTATCCATAAAGGCCATAATATTTCCCAGCTGAAAAATACAAGTATTGCCCATGCTTATACTACATTTCACCCTCTGCTCTGCCAACATTCTGATTGTGGGGGCCTCAATAATAGCTTTGATTGAATTTGTACTTTTCTCTGCCTGCCTTGGACAATTTGAGAATAATAGCTTCTCTTTTAGTTGCTTAGATTTATGTTTGTTTGTGTTTTTCTTTGACAATGTCTTAGGTGTTCCATCCCAAATTCCTGTGTCATCTGTGATACCAAAACCAACCCCGGGATTAGATTCAACTCTGAGTCAGGCAGCCTCCAGTCCAGTTGCTGCCATTCCACTAACACTCCAAACAGTTAATCAGCCTTTAATACCTATGCCTCAAACACTGAATCTTTATCAGGATCCCTTGTACCCTGGATTCCCGATTAATGAAAAGGGGGAACGAGTTATTACTCCTTCATATTCTTTGTGTGGTACAGGAGAAGATCTACCAAATGGTAAGAGAGTTGTCCCTTCCTTATCAAATGAAGTTTGTGGGTGTGTATGTGTAAGTGGTGACAGCAGTAGGAAATGCTGTATATTTACTAGTAGTTTCAACTATTCAGTCATGTCTGACTCTTGGCATCTTTACAGAGAAGTGCTCTCCATGCTGTATATATAAAACTCCATTAAAGTGAAACAAGCATGAAGATGATGTCTATTCTATGAAGGAAATTGTCTCATCTAGTTATCTATTTTTACAGTTTAACATAAGAATAAATAAGCTAAATTTTCATTTGGTAGTTGAAACAAGTTGGACAATAGAATTCTGATCCTAATTTACTTCCTAAGTATTTATAAATAAGGGTTGGAGAGCAGCTAAATATTTAATTGATGTATATTTTGTTGGATAGATTAGATCACCAAAAGTATTAAGTAAATAACTATGAGGGAAAAAAATAAAAAAAATTAAGTAACATGCTATATTCAAAGCTACTAAACTTTATTAATTTATCCTTAATGTCTTCTTTCCTAATTCCAACTGTTATAGTAATGAGCATACAGTGGAGATCAATCCCTGTGAATAAGTTTAGTGTATATTCCACTTCTAGCAATATATGATCAGCTTGATCTAGAAATAAAACAATGATGGACAAAATGTCATCTGGCAACATCATGTATAATATTAAGAAAAGAAATATTCTGCAGTTTGTGAAAATAACCAAAGCACTTTCCATCAGTGATGTGTACAAGATTGTTGCTATTTGTGAGTGCTTAACTCTTTATCTCTCCCATGCCTTTATTTAAAAAACCCACAGAAACATAAATTATACTGTGATTATTTTATATAAAAGATATAACACGCCTTTATGAAGAGACGTAATTCTTTTAATTTTTTTTCTATAATGTATTGGCAGTAACACATCACAATCTAAAGCTTTAGAAATATGAACACATTTTGATTGCTGAATTTCTATGTTTTAATTTATATACATAACAACAATATTTTTGTTTCTTTTCATGAAGATAAAAATATCCTCAGATTTTTCTTCAATCTTGGTGTAAAGGTAACTGTCAACATTCTCTGTTCTATAAAATTGTGTGAAAAGCTGAATGATTTTTAAAGTATTGTTTAAAAACTGTAATGCTAGAATAATTAGCTGAGGATATGGCAAACTAATTATTATAATCTGACTATAAACCCAAGGTTGTGAATATATTTAGTACTCCTGCCTCCTATTTTGTCCACACAAATTAGTGAGATAAATTGGCCTGATTATCATAAAGTCACCAGTCAGCTTTCATGCTGAAAGGAGGTGTAGAACAGTCTCTTGATTTCTAGGCCAACATCTTAACCGCTAAACTGGCTCTACAGAACTTGCCAACATTCTATAAAAATGTCCCAAGATTTTGTTACTTTTAGAAATAAAAAATTACAACAGTTACCAAGTAAGATCTTGTGGGTAAAATTGGTTTAGGCACCTAATCATTATAATCCACGTTTATTTCACATTAGCTCAGGGCAGTGGAGTAAACCTAGACTGTTTCGTTTTTGTTTAACTCAGGGGAGAAGACAATTACTTTCTGGATATTTGGGACTAATACCATTAGCTCCACCCATCATGGGCATTTAACAGTGATTATGGAAATTGTAGTTAAAAAATTTGGAAGGCACATGGTTGCCTACCCCTATCTCACACATATGTATAATTAAATAAAATATATTACCATAGAAGAATAATAAACTAAGCAATGCTTAGAACATGTTAATAAAGTTAGTGTTGGAAACTGGATAATGTTATGAGGACTTACATGGGAGATTTCCAGAAAATATCAACGTTGTAGGCTAGACTGGAGAGGTTTTTTTTAAAGCATCTCAGCAGAAGGCAACAGCCTTCTACTTCCTTATTGTTAAGAAGACTTCAGAGGGGTGTTAAAGAAACCAATAGGAGTCAAGCTTTAGTTTTACATTATCTTGAATACAGCATGGACTACTGCTGTAAATTGTATGGAAACCTCAAGACTTGGCTCTTCTCAGCATAGCTCCCATGGCTTTTCTGCATGTGTGCCCATTTAGAGCATGTGATGTTGGGTTTTTGATGCTTTTATTAATAGTTGGTATATTTGTAACAAATATAGAGAGTACTAGTATTTATTTATATGACCACATCTTCAGCCCAGAACAATTATTTGATGCATGGAATAAAACAATGCATTAAAATGTAATAATTTGTAAAATAATAATCTGACCTAATCTACTTTTAAAATGTAATGAAAATTGTCTTCGTTGCATTTCTTCAGGCATACAGTTGTCCCATGTGGGCGCCGCACTCCTATTTGTACCCTCTACACCAAGCTTACCTGAATGCCTGTAGAATGTACCCAAAGGTGCCAGTTGCAATGTATTCTCATCATCCTTGGATGCAGGAGATACCTTTGACTCAGAATGAAAATGAACAAATAGATGGACCATTCCATGTACCAAATGACGTCAGAATGGATGGCCAAAGTCTGCAGACTGATACTATGTCTTCACCCATGCCTCTGTTTATACATGCTACCCAAGTGCCTGAAAATCAAGGACTTGTCTGCATAGAGTCTGAGAATCCAGCACAAGCATTACATGCTGGTTATGAGGAGTCCCTAGGAGGCAAAAATATATTTCCACAAACTCCATTTGGGCAGAATCCATTTTTAGGTTCTGTACCACTTACATCAGTTTTCCCTCAATTTTGGTATGGATATCCTGTTCCAGGTTATATTGAAAATTCTGGAATGAGTCAAGTTGTGCCACAGGAGGCCAAGAGAGATGATATGGCCTTACCTGTGGAGGAAACTTCTTCAGTTTCAGCTGCTGAATGTGCCGAGCCACTTCAGAAAAACAAGGTTGAAAGAAATCTCCAAAGCATACCTCTCCCTAAAACTGCCATCAAGAATGAATGTAATATCCTAAATAAAACCTCAGCCCAAGTGCCTAAGGATCAGCAGACCAGTCCTGCTATCCCACCTGCTACCCAAACAAAATCTCTACTCCAAAACCTCTCTCCCACGGAAAAGCAGGACATCAAGAGACAAAAATCAACTTCAAAAACTGAATTTAAAAATGTTCTTGGCCATAAAGAAAAGAGTAACAAGACTAATGCATTTATATCAGCAAGTGGGGAGGAAAGTAGAGTACCACGGATAAGGGAAGAGAGCTCTGAAGATGAGCATGAAGTATCTGATATGCTTAGAAGTGGCAGATCAAAACAATTTTATAATCAAACTTATGGTGGTGGTAGAAGACCTAGAAGTGAAAGGAGCTATCTACCTGGGAGAGGAGGCTATCAGCATCCAAAAAATGAGGAACCATGGAAAGAGTCACCTACTGGAAATAGAGGGGAAGGCTCGCATTATCACCGCAATTTCAGAGGGAGGCCATATCGGAATGAGAGGAGAAGGTCAAACATACGAGATAGTCACCGAGGGCTACAGTTGTCTTAGCTATCAAAATCCAGACATTCAGCATGCATATAAATGCTGAGATATATGCTTAAGGCTTTTCTTAAAGATCAAAATCTTCTTTTTGTTTTGTCAAAGATGTTGGGGCCTTTCAGAAATTTAAGTGGTTAGATATTATAACATGATAATTGATAAAAACTAATTTTGCTTTATTTAATTTCTTAAGACTAAATATGAGTGTTTTAAACATAAAAAGTGTGTTTTTGTTTAAGTTTTATTTTCCCCATAAAGATTTAAGTTTGTGATAGAGAAGAAAAGAAAGAAGCTATAGTGAAAAGATACTGTGGTTATTTCATACCTGATAATGAACGATGCACCAAATAGTGTATGATATGTTGAGTCTAAGGATTCTCAAATCACTAGACTTATTTTTGATATATTTCCAATCCAAGGCTTTTCATCTCAAAAAAATTGTAAAAGTTGAATGTATGAGATTTTATTTTGCTTTACTTAAAATAACTTACTTTTTTTTTTTGCAATCACTATTTTTGTGTCTTAAAGATGGTTTATTTTGTTTTATCCATAGTGGTAGTGTGTGTGCGCGCGTGTATATTTCTTGAACTATTTAAAAACAATCAAGAATCTCCATATATCAAGTGGTAGTATGCTCAGTTTGGTGAATTCTTCCAAAGAGTCCTAATGCAGGAATGACTATAATAGTGCCTTTGCGAAAATATGTATATAAGAGTAGATGCCGTGCAGTTCCAAAATAATTTTACACATGTTACAAATGAACTTTTAAGATAGTTTTGCACTGAAAATTCCCCAAACGAACTATGGGAGAGATGCATGAAATAGATTAAACTACATTTGTCTTGTACTGTGGGTTATTGAGGCTTTTTTCTTTTGTTGTTGAACATGGTTGTGTTGTTTTATAAAAAGTGGGATATTTTTTAAAAAAAATAATGTTATTATAGTGTGATTTCTAACTTTACAGTCAGTGTACATGCTTTCCTTTGGTATTGCAAACCTATCCTTCATTTTTTCATATCTAAAACCAATTTGTGTAGCTGTCACTGTGTGTGCGTATATCTGCGTGGGTGTGGTATAGAATGTGAGTTAAATTTACCATACTGTTTGATCATGTGAATTGAGTAATATTTGATAAATTCCCTTAATATACACATAGGTTGTATAATTAAACATTTGCCCTTTCTGATATAAATTTGAACTGTTGGCTTATCCATCAACTTCTATATGTACTATATAACTATATATATATATAGTTATATATATATAACTATATATATAGTTATATATATATATAACTATATAAATTAGATGGATTAGTAAATTCCACATTTTGGAAGAATCCACATGCATACATTACAGATAGAATATGAAGCTTAGAGAACATCACGATTGCCTTTATGCTAATTTAGTTTATATACTTTCTTGAATTTTTCCTCAAATGGTTGATAGTCTTCCTTTACTTTCATTGCAGCACCTTCCCCAAATATACAGCTTATCTGAGGAAGCCAGTGGTGTGGCAGCTATAAAAAAGGGATAGTGCTTATATATCAGATTTTAACATCAAATTTTGATCCTATCCATTTGTATTCTGACAGAAAAAAATGTATTGCAAGTTTATTTTTACAGTAGATAAAATATACAAATGAAAGGTTGCAATTTAAAAGAGGCAAAGCTAAACTTTCCCTTGGATTATGAATAAACATACTAGTTAAAACTTTTAGGAACTCATGTCACATATTATTGATCTTAGATGTAGAGATAAGTGCATCATCATCAGAATGAATGGAGCAACTAGGCTAAAAATAACCTAGGGAGAAATCTGGCCACTTCAAAATATATTAAATGTTTGGGATAATTTATTTATAATCATCAACCAAAAGATAGTAAAGCTAAACTAAAAACTCAGGGTGTGTGTCAGTTCTTGGGTATTTGCTGTCCAATTTTTCATATGGCTAAGAATATTTTTGTCTTGTGAAGTCTTACCGTGTTTATTTAATTTTGGCAAAATAAATGATGTGGGTATATTTGGAGCCGGATGCAGGTAGGTCTTGATTTTTCACAAAACAAATTGCCAAAATAACTTTTATACAACATTGAGGACTGGGTAAATAACTTGCTACTCAAAGAGCAAACTGGATTTAGGTTTGGTCACTCTACCATTCATAATTGTTCTATATTGAGTCATCTAATATATAGCTAAAGAAAAATATATAGCTAAAAGGAGCGAACTCTTCATAACTTTTATAGACTTTAGTGCAGCATTTAATTCAATAAATGAGACCTTCTTTGGAAGAAATTTAACAATGTGACATGGAGCCCAGTCTTATCTTTTTAATTAAGGCATTATACTCAAAACTAGTAACACACACAGGAACATGTACTTAACAGAAAATATCAATAAAAGGATCAGACAAGGATGTATACTGGCTCCCATTTTGTTTAATTTGTACATTAACAATATCCCAAACTCCAACAGATATGCATATGCCTAAAATTAACATATAAACATTCTGCTTTACGCAGATGCCATAATATTGATGCCATATATTCAGGATAGGGTTGAGCAGCTCTGTGCAGATTTCATTCCTACTGTGCATTCAACTACCTGAATATCAAATCTAAAATTAAGGTACAGGTAATTCTCAATGTGGAAGCATTTGTTTAGTGATCATAGTTATAATAGCACTGAAAAAAGTGATTTATGACTTTTTCACACTTGTGACTTGTAGCATCAAGGTCATGTGATTTGGCATACAAATTTTGATCACATGACCTTGATGCTACAAGTCAAAAGCATGAAAAAGTCATAAATCACTTTTTTCAGTGCCATTGTAACCATGATCACTAAACAAATGCTTCCACATTGAGAATTATCTGTACCTTAATTTTAGATTTGATATTCAGGTAGTTGAATGCAGAGTAGCAAACTTCTGGTTTGGACGCGTTGTCTGAAGAGCTGCTTTTTTTTTTTTTAGCAGCTCCAGTCCCGAGATTGCGTTAAGGTGTCTAAACAGCATTCATCAGCTGTTTGACAGATTGATTACCTCTTCTTCGGGTGAAGGAGGGGTGAGTAGCTGGGCTTGGGAAGTGCTCCACTAACCTCCCCCAGGAGATAAATCCTGGGAGTGGAAGGTGTGAACCCCCCCCCCGTAACTCGGCGAACTCCGCGCCTGTGACTCATTCTGCCTTTTGACAGAAACAAAGAGACATGTCCACCCCTTGTTCAACGATTGATTTATACCTGAATCCAAGACAGACAGAGAAATACCGGAGAACTTCCAATTGTATGTATTAACAGACTTTTAACTCCATTTTTCTAAAAATTCTTTCTATTAAACTACGTGGCAGAAAGATAAAGATGGCGCCAAAGAGCTTTGAAGGCAGGGTTGTGCTGTAATGTTATAAACTACCACACAGCTTAAAATTACTTAAAGATCACTAAATCAGCAGTAATTTATTAGCAAGCTACAGAGTAATAATTGGAACAAGCGGTCTGTCTGGACTTATTAATTGGGTGCAAGATAAGATTAACTGAGGAAATGGCTTCAAAGCAAGCTAAAACAACTATAACTTCCAAGAGCGCAGGGAGTTCCCCTGCTCCGACAACTAAATTACAGTCATTGCTGCCCCCCCAATACCCCCCCTCCTGCTGGAGAACCTCTGACTCAAGAAATATTGCAAAGAGTTTTAAATGATGCTTTAAAAGACCATGTAGCTGTAATGGAAATTAAAATGCAGGAAAAGATTTCTGCTGCTTTCAAGGAGATTTCGGAAGAAGTGTTGGGATTGGTGCAGATTCGTAATCAAGAATTCAGAGAAGATATTTTAGGAGCCTTTAAATGCTTATCTAGCTATGTCTCAGGATTGGAGGAGAAAGTGGAAGAACTTGTAGCTATTATTTGTTAAATGTTGTAGTCTGGATGTTTGGATATGGAAGTTTTCT